GAGACTGGGAGACAGTGGCTCGTTCTCAAGTACTGGCTGCAACAAAGGGTAGACTCTGGACAGCTAGAATTTTCTCAAGAAGGCATGAAGACAAATCAGGTCATCTTAGGAATATGGCTTCCAAAAGTTGGAAACCATTCTTTTTTTTTAAGTATTCCTAGACTGAGGTTAACATTCAAGAATCAAGAGATTAGTCAGAGCCGGGTGTGGTAACAAACACCTTTAATCTTAGTCCTTGGGAGGCAGAGACAGGTGGATCTCTGTGAGCCTGGTCTACAGAGTGAGTTCCAGGACAGCTTGGGCTAAGTAGAGAGACTTTGACTCAAAAAGAGGGGTGGAGGGGAGATGTTGCTCAAAATGAGTCTTTGTATCCAAACTAGTTAATTAGCCCTGTTCTTTATAGATAAAATTGTGTGAGCACCCACATTTTGTCAAAAACTGTGTCCCAATCTTTCTTCTTCACCTTGTCAGCTTTCCTGCTCAGCAGGTCCCTAGGCTGGGAGCCTAGAAGGCTCAGCCATCTGTCCCCTGAAGGAAAAGACTGAGGCCAGGTGGGAAAGTGGAGGTGGAAGGAGCCTGGGGACAGTGGAACCATCGAGGCAGAGGCAGAAGGAAATGCAGGCAGACCCAGACAGCCACTAGCCTGGATGCTTCAGGCTCCACACAAATCGAGAGCTTGGTCACCCTGGTACTAAAGATGCAGGGGGGGCACTCCAACAGAGACCTCACATGACCTCCAGAGGCTTCCCTCCCAGCTCAGGGCAGCGGAACAAAAGTCATCAGGGAACATCTAAGAGGAGAGGAGAGAACCAGGGATTGCTGCCCAGCTACTCGCTGGCTGGCTGGCTTCGGAAACCCAGGAAAGAGACAGGTCTCTGTTCCTTCTGAGCCTCGCAGGAGCGGAACCTACCCACTAAGGGCACTTGGAAGCCCAGGCTGCATCCCTGGGAACTCTCTTACACCTGACAGGTGAGGCAGAGGGTCCTGCCCAGAGGATCATCTAAAACACCTAGGAATGCTGACCCCACCTGCCCTAGCAAGAAGGTAATGAGCAATCAATCCCCTCTGCAGGCAGTGTGTGGGCGCCTGGGCTCTGCCTAGAATTAAAGTGACTGCTAACCCTGAATTCCTGCCTCTGGAATGTGCTTTAGTGAATCTTTGCCAAAACTTGCGAGGAACTCAGCAATCTGACTGGGAACATAGGATCCGTGGCCTGGACAGGTGGAACCGCGCAGGATGTTGACTGTGGAGCTGTGTGTCCTTGTGGCCGTCAGAGTGCCGCGGCTTCGACAATGGTAGAAAGTTTAAAATTCAGTGACAGCAGATAAAGGTTGGCAGGCAAAAGGCATTGTTTTGTTTTCTTTCGTTTTGCTTTGTTTTTGAGACAGGGTTTCTCTGTGTAACTCTGGCTGTCCTGGAACTTTCTCTGTAGACCAGGCTGGCTTTGAACTCAGGGATCTGCTTGCCTCTGTCTCCTGAGTGCTAGAACTGGCAAATGTCTGTGAGTTCAAGACAAGCCTTGTCCAGCATGGTGGGGCCCACCTTTAATCCCAACAACTGGGTATAAACCACTCCAGGACAGGCCTCATGTTCAGGAGTAATTGACCAACATAGAATGGACTCCATAGTTTTGTGTGTGTGCCTTTATTTGGTTACAGGTTAGTGTTTGGGGGGGGGGTGTTTGTTTTCTTTTGGGGCGTAGTTTCATTTTGTTTTCTTGGTTGAGGGGTTGTTGTTGTATTGTGTTTTTGTTTTTTAGAAAGAACAAGTTGGGTGGGTTGGGAGGAGGAGAGCATCTGGAAGGATTTGGCGAAAGGGGAACTATAATGAACAAATATTTAAACTTGAAAATTGTTTAAGTAATAAAAAATTAATAAAAGTCTTGATTGGTCTACATAGCAAGTTCCAGGATAGCCAAGTCTGCACAGTAAGACGACCTACAGTGGTGTGGCAAGCTCATCCACCTCTGTGTTCACCATTACTATGGTTTGGTTGGTTTGTATCCCCCCAAGTACACCTTTTGTAGAAGCCTGGTGCACAGTGTGGTAATACTGAGATGGTGGGGCCTTTGGGAGGCAGCTGTAGTGGGAAGCTGTTAAGTCACAGGAATGTGCCCTCAGATGAATGGGTTGTTTCTCTCTAGAGTGGTTATGAAAAAGCAAGAGTGGCCTCCCTCCCCTCTCCCTGGACTCCTGTCAGCATAGTGGGCTCTTCATTTTACTCTCATTCCCTCCATGCTACCATCCATCATGTCCTCATCCGTGATGATGTGACAGAGCCAGGAAGTCCCCAGAGAGCTGGTGCCAGGCTGTTCCGATGCTAAACTGAGTTAATAACCTTTTTACTCTGTCAATTACTCAGCCTGGGTTATTTTTTTAGTAAAAGCAGGAAATGGGTTAATGTAACTACATTCTGATACGGTTTGGGCTTTATTTTGGTTTGGTAGCTTGCCATGGTGCACACATTCCTGCTGCAGTGTGCATTCCTGGATAAACTTACTAATCTTTGGGAAGCCTGGTTGTTATTTAAATTTACACCTGGGGACTGAGAGGAATTCTAAACCAAGACATAAAATCAAGAATCTCCTTATTAACCATATAAAAACTTCACATTTAAAAAACCATAGAAATATAAAAGGCAAAAAAATGTGACAGCAATACGGAAAAACAAAACCCACTGGGAAATAATGGATTGTGTATTCGTCTCACATTGCTGACCTGAGTACTGAGAAATCAGAGATAAGAACTCATGGTGCCACTCAAAGGAGGTTCAGCTTGCTCTGAACACATAGTTGCTTTGGTGGTTAGGGACAGAGTAAATAATGTTCAGTTTTAATTGTCAGCTTGACACACAACCTAGAATCATCTCAATCTGACCGTCGGCGTGTCTGTGGGGAACTGTCTTGACTGGTTTGATTAAGATAGGAAGGCTCATCCATTGTGGGTGGCACCACTCCCTGGGTTTGGGTCTTGAACTGTTTAAGTGTAAGGATGGAACTGAACATGCCGGGCGGTGGTGGCGCACGCCTTTAATCCCAGCACTCCGGAGGCAGAGCCAGGCGGATCTCTGTGAGTCCGAGGCCAGTCTGGGGTACAGAGTGAGTTCCAGGAAAGGCGCAAAGCTACACAGAGAAAGCCTGTCTTGAAAAACCAAAAAGAAAAAAAAAAGGATTCAGAGGATGGAACTGAACACAGCAAGCATGTATGCCTTTATTCTCCTACCCTTGACTGGAAAAGTAACTGGCTCCTTCAACTTCCTACCTTGACTTTCCGTCAATGATGGACTGTAACCTGGAATTGGATGCCAAATAAGCCCTTCCTCCCTTATGCTGCTTCTTTGTCAGAGTGTTTTATCACAGCAATAGAAGTAAAAAAAAAAAAAAATAGGACAAGGTGGTTCCAAGAAGAAAGACCAACCTTCCCCAAGGCTCTGAATAGAAATTGGTACCACTGTAGTGTCCTGAGGAATGAAGGATCAAAGAATATCCTGAGTCAGAACCCTCAGCAACAATGACCATCCTCTGAATGGGCAAGGGAAGTTGGGAAGACTTGCTTCCAAGGGGACATGTGGGTCGTAGCTGTGACCAGTAGAAGGGACACAATCATATTAAGAGGTAACATGTATCACACACGAATATAAATCAAATGCTACAGCAAGCATTCTGGGTAACAATCTTATTAAGTATCAAAATGGCTCTACATAGAATGTGATACTACACAAAGTACAGAAACTGGTCACTCGGGCTTGGAGATCAGTATTATGTATCCAGTGGCATGCAGCCATCCTCGGGTCAATTAATTACATCGGGCCTTGGCTCCATCATCTGTAAAAGATGTAAATAAGAGTAAGTATGTGAAGAGAAATGAAGGGGAGTTAAGAACTACAGCATGTTTGATATCATAGAGATCATATTAGTGATTAATCTAGACCAATGGTCCTCAACCTGTGGGTCAAGGTCCCTCTGGGGGTCAAACAACCCTTTCACAGGGGTCACCTAAGACCATCAGAAATACCAGGTATTTATGTTACCATTCATAGCAGTTATGAAGTAGCAATAAAAATAATTTTCTGGTCAGGGGTCACCACAACATGAGGAACTGCTTTAAAGGATTGCAGCATTTGGGAAGGTTGAGAACCACTGTTCCAGACTATCTTGGTTTGTGTATGTGAGCTTTGTGAGGACAGACAACTCACTTTTCACATTGAACTCTGTGTGTGTGTGTGTGTGTGTGTGTGTGTGTGTGTGTGTGTGTGTGTTGCCCAAATAAGCAAGGAAGAGGGGCAGAAACAGGCAACTCCATCAGCAGTAGCCTCCAACAACAGAACCCTGACTGTTCTCACCTAGAGGAAAACCAATGCAAAGTGCCCCTTTTATATTCCAGGACCCACTGGGTTAGATCAACATCCCCCAGTCATCCAACTTTGACTTCCAGCACAAAGTGGGTGAGACTAGAACACTGTGTCTCTGGGCAGAGTTAGCAATCTTAGTGGGTCCACTAAGTTCCCATAGGCAAGGTGAGTTTCCTGGGCTGCCTCAAGAACAGAGATACTAAACCCCTAGCAAAGGCCAAGCAGCCAGGTACTTGAGGGACAGACCCTCTATGGGCCAGGAAATTTGTTTCTTTATAATCAGACAAATCAAAGTGGGGTTTAGGGAGAACCAGGAAAAAAAAATGACTCATAGAGGCAATCATTAGATTATGAGAAGGATACCAGGCCAAGGACTCTGCATCTTCCTAGAGCTCTCTCTGCTCTGAGTGAGTGTTGGGACTGGGAGGAGAGGTGTTGTAGGAAGTCCCTGCAGCAGACACAGTGAAAGCTAGGTGGTATTGCTGGCTATGCAGCCTTCCACATACCCCTCAAGACCCTGTTGATCCACTGCATGGCAGTTTTCTTCTCTAAGTCAAAGTCTTCTGCTGTGATTCGACAGCATAGTTCTAGAGGTGGGTGCAAAATCAATGGGACGTCTCTTCTATGAGGCAACAGAGGGACCTTGCGTCTCACAGGCTTTGGGATATCAGGCGCAGGGAGGCCGTTCCTTGGGTCTCCTTGCTTGACTTGAGGAGCATCTGTGATAGCTGCTTTCTTGGCCTTCCTCTTTTTCTTTTCCTTTTTTTTCGGGTTACCTGAAGCTTCAGGACCTTTCTCACTGCCTTTCTTTGGAGCCCCCTTCGACCGCGACGAGGTTGAGCTGGGGAGTGGCGGTGCAGCACCTGGGATAGGGTCACCTGAAGCTGAGCAGCCTTTCTCTCTGCCTTTCTTTGCAGCCCGCTTTGACTGGGATGAGGCTGGGCTGGGGAGCGGCAGAGCGTCTGCAGCAGCCCCTGAAACAGCGCCTGGGGCAGCACCGGAAGCACCACCTGGAGCAGCATCTGCGGCAGCACCTGGGACAGCACCTGGGGCAGCACCTGGGGCAGCATCTGCAGCAGCACCTGGGACAGCACCTGGGGCAGCATCTGCAGCAGCACCTGAAGCAGCACCTGGGACAGCACCTGTAGCAGCACTAGAGGCAGCACCTCGGGTTGCACGTGCAGCATCGCCTTTGGCAGCCCATGAAACGGCGCCAGGAGCAGCACCTCGGGTAGCACCTGCAGCAGCAACTGAGGCAGCACCTCGGGTAGCACCTGCAGCAGCAGCTCTAGGAGCACCTGCAGCAGCATCTGGGGCAGCACCTCGGGTAGCACCTGCAGCATCAGCTCTAGGAGCACCTGCAGCAGCATCTGGGGCAGGACCTCGGGTAGCACCTGCAGCAGCAGCTCTAGGAGCATCTGCAGCAGCAGCTCTAGGAGCACCTGCAGCAGCATCTGGGGCAGCACCTCGGGTAGCACCTGCAGCAGCAGCTCTAGGAGCACCTGCAGCAGCATCTGGGGCAGCACCTCGGGTAGCATCTGCAGCAGCAGCTCTAGGAGCACCTGCAGCAGCATCTGGGGCAACACCTCCGGTAGCATGTGCACGTGCAGCAGCACCTGTGGCCGCGCCTGAAGCAGCAGCTCGGGTAGCACCTGCAGCAGCAGCTCTAGGAGCACCTGCAGCAGCATCTGGGGCAACACCTCCGGTAGCATGTGCACGTGCAGCAGCACCTGTGGCCGCGCCTGAAGCAGCAGCTCGGGTATCACGTGCATAAATTCTCTCTGGTGGCCACTGTGCTAGAGTGGAACTGTAGGAGCTGGCAATGGCATTTCGTTTGTATGAGCTCTTGAAGGCTATCTGGGATTTTTTAATATAGCTCTTTGCTGAGTTCTTGAAACAGATATCTCCACCCAAAGGACCCGGCCTGGGTGTAAAAGAAGAGAGCACATTGTTGACAATCAGACGTCCAAATGCAGATGGGGCACTCACATCGCCATCAGAGTCTTTTCCCTGACCAGAAGGCCTCTTGGTGACTGGGGAATCTTTCTCCTGCTTGGCAGATCCTTCACCTTTTCCCAAAGTAATGAGGTCTTTCTTTTTCTTTGCTCGCATTCTTTTGCTTTGGCTTTGGCTGCTCTCTTGGAGAGCACTAATCTGTATCTCCTTCCTAGACTGAGTCGAGAGGTAGCCAGTGAGGAAAGACCATATAATCAGTACGGGCTGCGCCAGAACAAAACGGAGCGTGGCTCTGCCCTTAGTAGAGACCACCTTCAGAATCATTGAGCTTCGGGGCATCCTGGAAGCCGACAGAGTCGGCACTGAGTCGTGCTGGCCACACAAGAACATTGAGGAAAAGACTCCGATGAGTAAGTCCCAAGCCTTCTCCACTGCATATCGCTTCGTGTGGACAACCGCCACGCGCCCAGGGTGCTCCTGGGAATCAGCTAAAGCCTCATCATCTTCTAAAGACGGGCTGCTCTCAGCCATGTTCAGACACTCGTCCATGGAATTAACCCAGGGAGACTGGGGAATACGGTGGACTGGTGGCGGGGGCCTCTTCTGTAGGTCCCCAGTGGATACAGTCAGGGACGGACAGCAAGGGCGAACCCAGCCCAGCCAGACAGCTCTGCACGATCGACGCCTTCAAATGGAGTCAACGGTTCAGAGACGCTTCCCTAGCTGCCGAAGGAGCCCACAGTAAGGCACGCACTGTGGAACGTGTTGCCTATGACGCGGCACTGGAACGTGTGAGCGAAGAAAGGGCACGAGCAAAGGCCACGCGAGGGAAGGGCGCGCACTAGGACCCCCTGTTGCCGATAAAAGTGACACTGGGACTACCTGCTCTCTTGTCTGGAGGCCAGTAGACAGCCCCGCCCCCCACTGTTGGAACCCTGTGACACTGAGGTGCCCCGGCCAGAGAACTATGGAGCTGCTGGACTCCGAGTTCAAAAGCGTCCCCTGGAGGTGGCAGCATCCTCCCCTCCCCCAAATAGAGGAAGGGACAACTGTTCAGAACCAGAGCTTACTGGTGCCATCCAGATACTGTAAGGCAGGTGTAACACGAATCTTAAAAAGTCTTATAACAAGCAGGGTGGCGGTGGCGCACGCCATTAATCCCAGCACTCGGGAGGCAGAGGCAGGTGGATCTCTCTGAGTTTGAGGCCAGCCTAGTCTACAGAGCGAGATCCAGGACAAGCACCAAAACTACACAGAGAAACCCAGTCTCCAAAAAACAAAAACAAAAAAAAAAAAAAAAAAAAAACAGAGCCAGATATTGGGGTAAAAGCTGAAAGATCAGAGAAGCAGAACAGCCAGCCACTGGCTTACCTCTAGAAATCCTCAGCCTCAAGAGAGCAAGTTCCTGTTTTCTCACACCTTATATACCTTTATGTCTTTATGTGTCTACCCATATTACTTCCTGGGATTAAAGGTGTGTCACCACTGCCTGGTTCTGTTTCTTTCATGTAGCCCAGTGTGGCCTTGAACTCACAGAGATCCAGATGGATCTCTGCCTCCCAAGTGATAGGATTAAAGGTGTGTGCCACCACTGCCTGACCTCTATGTCTAATTTAGTGGCTGGCTCTGTCCTCTGATCCCCAGGTAAGCTTTATTGGGATACACAAGATATCACCACACACACCTTCCCTTGAAATGTTCAAAAAAAAAAACTTCTATCATTTTAAAGTTTAAGGTTAAACGATTTCTACATCAAAATCTGGTCATTAGAGGGAACTCATGAAATTTAGATCAACAGCTATGAAGCCTGCATGGGACTGGACTAGGCCCTCTGCATAGCGAGACAGTTGTGTAGCTTGATCTGCTTAAGGGGCCTGCTGAGGGATGTCTTTCTGTATGCTGTGAATATGTGTTGCTCTGATTGGTTGATAAATAAAGCTGTGTTGGCCTATGGCAAGGCAGTTTAGAGGCAAGCAGGAAATACAAGCAGATAGACAGGAAGAAGAAAGGAGAGGGGAGAGAGACGGGAGCCAGCCACCCAAGGAGCAACATGTAATAGGGCACAGGTAAAGCCATGGAACATGCGGTGATACACAGATTCATAGTTATGGGTTAATTTAAAATATAAGAGCTAGCTAGCAAGAGGCCTGTCATAGCCTATACAGTTTGTAAATAATATAAGCCTCTGTGTGTTTACTTGGGTCTGAGCAGCTGTGGGACCAAGCAAGACACAGGATAACTTCCAACTACAGGGGCCCCCTGGCAGTAGGATCAGAATCCAACCCTGGTGCATGAGCAGGCTTTTTGGAGCCCACTACCTATGATGGGACACTTCACACAGCCTTGAGGCAGGGAGAGGGGCTTGGACTTGCCTCTACTAAGTGTACCTCCCCATGGGAGGCTGTACCTTCTTGTAGGAGGGAATGGGGGGTAGGTTGGGAGGGAGAGGCTGGAGGGGCAGGAGGAGGGAAACGGGGGATCTTTAATTGGTATTTAAAATGAATGAAATTTTTTTCTTAATAAATAAATAAACAAATCTGGTCATTGATAGATATGATAGCTCAGATGAATCTCAAAAAGCATTATGCTAGGTCAATGAATTACATCCACAAGTTATGTACTTACCTCACAACCCCATCGATATGCTATTCTTTTAGAGAGGCACACTCACAAGATGGAGAGTAAATCAGTGATTCCCAGGTCTTAGAGCTGGATGAGAGATTGAATATAAACTATAACATGAAGGAAACTGGGGGACTGAGAAGATAATCATGTAAGCTGATCAAAGCAGCTGGTACAAGCATCTATGCATTTGACAAAATTTAGGATACATCACAGAGAAGTTTACTATGGGTAATTTTAAAAGTAAGTATCTAAGTTGACACTTTATTAACCATGACTTTATACTTAAAACCAGTTTTTTTTATTTTTAAAAAATTGTGATAGGGTTTCTCTATTATGTAGCTCTGTTTGTCTTGGAACTCGCTATATATATAGACCAGACTGTCCTCGAACTCCCAGAGACCTACCTGCCTCTGTCTTCCCAGTGCTGGGATTAAAGGTGTGCACCACCACACACAGCTAAATAAAAATACTTTTAAAAGGCGTTGATTCTTCACTTGGACCACAGAGTAACCAAAGCAGGATGAATGAAAGCCTGGCATCTATCTTATTTTGCATGTCTCCTTTACTTCAGGTCAGTCACCTGCTAACCCTACACATAAGCATGTTAATAACTCAAGGAATGTCTGTCTAAAAGGCCAAGGATGTCTGACCAACCTCATTCCCCTTCATGGCTAGGGGCAAAAATAAAGATAAGAGCAACTGAATTATCTTCCTATCAGCTTTCACAGGGTCCTGCACCAGACACATAAACGTCATTGTTCTAATCCCTCAGGCCCCTTGGATAGCGGAAGAAGCCCACAGACAGATCACCCCAATCATGAGAACACCCCCAAGCAGGAGCAGTCATCTCATAGGAACCAGCTTGTCCCTTCAAATAATGAACATTTCTTTGGAGAACCTTGCAAGACCAGACCTGAGATAATGATCGGCCAGACAGCACAGAATTGCACACCTCACTCCCTGCCCCAGCTCTTCCTCTGTTGAAACCTAAAGCCCCGTCAGTGTCCTCCTGCAGATGGACTTCGTCTGTTTCTCTTCCTAGTGTGCCACACAGATTAAATCTCCTTTCTCTGCTTTTCACTGTCTCTTGCCTCTTTAGCATACTTGAGTGGACTGACCAGCCTAATCCCTTGGGACTTCCTGAGTCAAGACATTAGCTTTATCATTTTTTTTATCATGATCCTTTCCTATCTATATTAGTCATGATTCTCTAGAGGAATAAAACTGATAGAGAGAGGGGGAATTTATTAATCCATATATTAAAATTAAAATCCATACATATGTGGATTTATTAGAGTGGCTTACAGGCTGTGGTCCAGCTAGTCCAACAATGGCTGTCTCCTGACAGAAAGTACAGGAATCCAACAGTTGTTCAGCCCATAAGTCTGGATGTCTCAGCTGGTCTTCAGGATACGTTGAAATTCCAAAGAGTCAGGTCTAATGCCAGTGAAGGGGTGCCTCAGGCAGCAGGAAACAGGAACTTGTGAGTGGAAATGAGGCCAAGCAGGCGGAAAGTTAAAGCCTCTTTCTTCCAGGCCAATTATAAACATCACCCAGATTTAAAGTGTTGTCTTCCTACCTCAAATGAAATAATTAATGCCTGGATTAAGTTATTGTAGTAATTTCCCATTGACTTTAATCACAGGACATGACAACACCAAGAACCACCCTAAAGGATCTCCTGCATTCCAGACATAATCTTCTTTACCTCCACTATGGGGAAGGAATCCATGTTTCCCTTGGTAATCTGGATCAGTCAACTCTCCTAACAGTTATTCCTTTCTTAGCTTGTTGCTTAAGGGCATCAGAAACCCAAAAGTAGCCAGCGAGGAAGTCTGAGCTTCCAGTTCAATGAAATATTTGCTGTATCTCCAGGAAGGAGTGCTCCCCTCTCTGGAACCAAACTTTCTAGGCTAGCAGAACATAAGGTCACAGGAACAGGAAGTAAAAATTGTCCTAGTGGATCACTAAGGGTGATAGTGAATGGAGCCATTCATGATGTGTGTGTATCCATATATTCATTATATATATATATATATATATATATATATATATATATCGTATTATTTAAAATAACTTTTAATTTTTTTTTTTGGTTTTTTGAGACAGGATTTCTCTGTGTAGCTTTGTGCCTTTCCTGAAACTCACTCTGTAGACCAGACTGGTCTCGAACTCACAAAGATCCTACCTGCCTCTGCCTCCCGAGTGCTGGGATTAAAGTCGTGCGCCACCACCACCCAGCAAATTTAAATATTTTTTTTTTCTTTTTTTCAAGACAGGGTTTCTCTGTGTAGCTTTGCGCCTTTCCTGGAACTCACTTGGTAGACCAGGCTGGCCTCGAACTCACAGAGATCCACCTGCCTCTGCCTCCCGAGTGCTGGGATTAAAGGCGTGCGCCACCACCGCCCGGCTTAAATATTTTTTATACTCTTCCCTCCCCCGAATTTATCCAGATCCTCCTCTTCTTCCTACCCCTCAAACTTTAAGTTCTTTCTCAAAAAACACACCAAAAATTCAATACAACAACAAGATTCCAAAACTTTGATAACAAAATACATCACCAAAAAAGAAAAAAAAAACTGTAACCAAATTAAAGTGCACACACACACGCAAAATACTCCTGAATATGAGTTCTGTCCTGGAGTGATGGATATACACAGTATTACTCCATTGGTAATTTATTTTTCCCTCTCCCAGCAGGTATAAATGACAGTTCTATTGTTAACTTTTACCCTAGTGGCTAGGTTTACATTCATTCACTCTTTTTGTGTTTTGTTTTGGGTTTTGTTTGTTTGTTTTGTTTTTCAAGACAGGGTTTCTCTGTGTAGCCCTGGGTGTCCTAGAACTTACTCTGTAGTCTAGGCTGGCCTCGAACTCACAGACATCCGCCTGCCTCTGCCTCCTGAGTGCTGGGATTAAAGACGTGTGCCACCACCATCCAGCTCATTCATTTTTTTTTTAAAGAGCACAACAAAATAACAAGATAAAACAAAATCTGTCACATTGAAGTCAGACAGGACAGACCAGCAGAAGAGCCACAGAGAGGATGCAAGAGTGAGAGACCCGCTTGCTCACCTGCTCGACAATCCTATAAAAACATGGACTGGGAGCCATAATACAAGCTCAGAGGACCTGGTGCTGACCCGAGCAGGCCCTGTGCACACTGCCTCAGTCTCTGTGAGTTCATATGAGCTTTGCTCTTGTTAATTTAGAGGGTCTTGTTGTCTCGGTGTCCTCCAGCCCTTCCAGCTCTTACATTCTTTCTGCCTCCTCTTCCGAGGGGTCTCCTGAGCTCTGAGGAGAGGATTCTGATAGAGATATCCCATTTTGGGCTGAGTGTTTCAGGGTCTTTCACTCTCTTGTAATGTCTGGCTTGGGTCTATGTATTTGTTCTCATCTGCTGCAGGAGGAAGCGTCTCTGATGATGGCTGAGCAAGGATCTATGAGTATAGCAGAATATCATTAGGAGTCATTTTATCACTACTTTTTTTTTTCTAAGACTAGTATTATTTCATTTTGCCCTAGGTCCCTAGGCTATCTAGTCTCATGTTCTTGGTCACCCAAGCAGTGTTAGATATGGGTTCCATCTTGTGAAGTGGGCCTTAAGTCAGATCAGTTATTGGTTGGTTGCTCCCACAAGCATTGTACCACCATTGCCCTAGCATATCTTGCAGGTAGTACACCGCTGTAGACAAAGGAGAACAATTTCCTTTTGATGTGGTGGTTTGAATGAGAATGCCCCCAAAAGGCTCATATGTTTGAATGCTTGGTCACCAGTTAGTGGAACCATTTGGGCAGAACTAGGAGATATGGCCTTGCTGGAGTAGGTGTGGCCATGTTAGAGGAGATGTGTCACCTGAGGTGGGCTTTGAGGTTTTAAAAGCCCATACCAGGTTCAGTCTCTCTTTCTCTCTCTCTCTCTCTCTCTCTCTCTCTCTCTCTCTCTCTCTCTCTCTCTCTCTGCCTGAAATTTGTGGATCAGATATGAGCTCTCAGCTACTTCTCCAGGACGATGCCTGCTGCCTGTTGCCATGCTCCTCAATATGATAATCATGGACAAACCCTCTGAAACTGTAAACTAAATTATTTTTTTCTATAAGTTTCCTTGGTTATGGTGTCTCCTCAAAGCAATAGAACAGTAGCTAAGACACTATCTAAGGCCTTATTAGCCCTAGATGGACTGACTCTCCCAGGGCTAGCCAATGCACAGAGATAATGAACAATCCACTCCAGAGAAAATTTGTGGACTCTATCCCTAGCACCAGGGAAGAAAAATCAAAGAACAAATATAAATGAACTAATCTTACAGCTACCTCCCTCATCTATCAGGCTGTCATCCTCTGGACCCCTATCTCCCTGATCCAAGCACTCTAGTATCCTAGCACCAGCAATCAGGCAAGTAGGGATAGCCCAGTACCCAAGGGCCTACTTAAAATCATCCAAACTGGCCAATCCCAAGCCTGCTTACTCTATCTCACCCTTCCCTTCCTATGGAAACCATAATAACTAACAGCTCTTAAACACATTATCCCTCTGCCTTCTGATTAGCCCTGGAGATCCTCTTTGTACTCCCTTCCCGAGTCACATGTTCCCCTCCTTGGATCTGTGAGTGACAGTCTTTTTCCAATGACAGCCATCTTAAATAATAAAACCTGTATTTAAACAGGCACACGAATTATTGAGAATCACCAAGACAATTCAAGAGAGAATGAATAGATGTGGTTTGCTGTCACAAATGAAGGATTTGTTTCAGACCCATATACTTTTAAGGTGGCTTGGTACGGCACAAAGACAGGTGACTAGACCTTTGGACTAGACCAGAGAACCCAGAGACAGGTTTAGCTCACAGACAACTTTAAAACACATCTTGCAATGTACTTCACATGTGGTCCTTCTGCTTATATGACCCATGCCCCAACAGATGTCCTCAGCTGGGGACCACTGGTGGCATAAGCATCTCCAAGCCATAAACCCTAGAGTCCTTCAACGAGGGAAAGTGTGCTGGCCTCTACCTACTTCATTTTCTCAATATGCAAATTAAGATAGATGTTACGACTGCACGGTAGTGGTTTGGTGTATTATTTATTTTGTTGCCATGGTAAAACACCATGGGCAGATGCAGCTTAGGAAATAAAGAGTTTGCTTTGTCTTACAGCTCCATAGTGGCAGGGTAGGCGTGGCAACAAGCAGCAGGAGGAAGTAGCTAAGAGATCGCATCTTCGACACAAACAAGAAACCCCAAGTGAATCAGAAATAGTTTGAGGCTATCAGCTCTCAAAGTCTGCCTCCAGTGACATGCTTCCTCCAGCAAGGCTCCACTTCCTAAAGTGTTCCCCAAGCAGCGTCCCCAACTGGTGACCAAGTGTTCAAATACATGAGCCCACGAGTGATGTATTTCATTGGAAGTGTTACACATGGCCAGTCGATTCAACAAAGGCAAGAACCTCCTGCTTGCTCCTATCTTTAGCATGAGTGACTGCCACGTGACAGGACGAGCCTGATTAACTGCTGAATGGACAAACAAATGCAACTGCTATAGGTACTTAGCACAGAGTCTGGGAGCATCTGATTAGTGTAACTACCTCACTGGGCCTGCTGGCGTCCCAGCAGAGGTGGGAAGGAAGGAAGAGGTGCATCTGCGATGTCACGGGTGTCGGGATAGCTTTTCTGCTGATTAGTCAGTTCTACTCTCCTACGGCGTCCGTGATCTTAAAAGGACAAATTATGAATGCTAAATACCATTACGAAGGTCTCACTAAACGCAGTTTGGAAAGATAATGTGAATCACTCCAATTTAAAAAAATAAATAAATAACTGGAGAAGTAATTCTAAAGATGACCCATCTAAGGTACAAAATATGGCCACATGGTGGCACCATGTAGCCAGTCAACAGATAGTTGCCGTCATTAGTGTCTTACAATCCAGGCTGTTCCATGCCAGCATCTCAGCCTTCACATGTATTTTCTGTGAATATCCTGTTTTAAAGTCCTCATCACTGAGATCATTCTTCCCTGGAGGATAGAGCTGAGAGATAACAGGAAAAATTCACATCTGAGTGTCTGTGAGGTAGAAAGTTATGGACACGCAAGACCAACAGACACAAATGTAGGAGCACCAAGAACAGGCACATAGCCAGCTGTGACAGGACATGTTTGTGATCCCAGCACTTGGGAGGCTGAGACAGTAGGATTTCCATGAGTTTGAGGCCAAATTAGACTACATAGGGAGTTTTGCGCCAGCCTAATACATAGCAAGACCCTGTCTCAAAAAGAAAAAAAGAGTATACACACTTACATAAGACTCTCTTCCTACTTTATCTACATACAGGTACACACACACACAAAGACACTAATCTTGATGTCTGCTCTGACATACATGTATGTACTCTTCAGAAGTCTATTACTTCAAATAAAATAGAGCCACTTTGAAATCTCGAGGCATCACTCTTAGACCTGTCTCTCTCAGAGCCAGGTGGAAGGAGTCAAGTCCCCTTTCCCAACCTCCCTTTAGATATTTAAAGATTCAGTACTGTCTTCATGTGGGACAATTTCAGTGCCAGCAAGATCACAATTATGTCCCCCACACCATGAATAATAAATGAGAATGAACAGGTAAGCAGCCTGGTAAGGGTCATGAGGTTGGGTGTCAGAGTTCCATGTGAAAGGGACTTCATCTTTCCTTTGGGGAAAAAACTCCTGCCTGCCTGCCTATCTCCCTTCCTTCTTTCCTCTAGCTATAATTTGAATGTGTCCTTCAAATTTTCCTGTACTGGGGGCCTGGGGATATAGATCAGTGGAGCATACATGAAACCCTGGATACCATCCCAGTACTACATAAACCAGTATGGTATCTCATGCCTGAAACCCCAGCACTCGAGACGAAGGTGAAAAGATCATAAATTCAAGGTCATCCTTGGCTAAATAGTGAGTTCAAGGCCATCCTAGATCACATGAGACCGTGTCCTAGATAGATAGATAGATAGATAGATAGATAGATAGATAGATAGATAGATAGATATGATAGATAGATAGATAGGTAGATAGATAGATAGATAGATAGATAGATAGATAGATAGATAGATAGATAGATAGATAGATAGATAGGTAGGTAGGTAGATAGATAGATAGATATGATAGATAGGTAGATAGATAGATAGATAGATAGATAGATAGATAGATAGATAGATAGATAGATAGATAGATAGATAATTTAATGCCCAAATTGATATGATAATGTTAACTGTGGGAGGATTAGACAAGTTCATCAAATTCTGCACAGTACTGGTGTCTCTAGACAAGACAAGACACACAAACTAGCACACCTACAGTATCTTGTCACATGATGCTGCCCTGTACCATGCTATGACACAACAAGGAACCCCTTACCAATACCCCGGACTTGCTGGCAAATAAACTTCTCTTCCTTATAAGTTATCCAATCTTGAATTTCTCTGTTTGTTTTAGCAATAGAACCCACTAAAAGATGCCTCTCTTTTTCCTCACCTAAAATAAATTACATTGAACATTTCCTCTGCCACTTGCTTTTTTCCCATGGATATCTCATGCCATTAGTACATGAAAGTTTAATCACATCCTATTACCTGGCTCTCTGGTACTCCACTCGGGGTGGCTGTTCTAACTCCCTTTCTGTTGCTGCCATAAAATGCCCTATTAAAAAAAAGCAACGTAGGGAAGAAAGTCTTTATTCAGCTTACAATTGTAGGTTAAAGTTCATCATCACAGGAAGTCAAGGCAGCAGGAACCTACGACAGCTAGTCACATCCACAGTCAGGAGCAGAGAGAAATGAATGCATGCATACTTGCTCCTCAGCTAGCTTTCTCTACCCTTACACAGCCCAGGTGCCCCCAAGCCAGGAAATGGCACTGCTCACGGTCAGTCTGGGTCTTCCCACATCAGGTAAGGCAATCAAGATAATCCCTAATAGACACACTCACTGGTCAACCTAATATAGACAACCCTCATTTGTCAGGTTGACAATTGAGGCTAACCATTACAGTGGCTTTATTAAGTTATTCAAATAAATCCTGTTTTAGAGCTTCTCTCACACACATAAATGTGGAGGTTTTGATATTCACATACTGTAACTCACAGGCATGGAATATACACATTTTTATCCATAACTGAATGAAATTACAGCCAGGAACCATTCCCCCATTTGTGAAGACTGTGTGAGCCAACAATCTATGCCTATAGATTATCCAACCTTTTATAGATTAAATCCGGTCCTCCCTGTCTGACTCCGGTTCCCTTTGGTAAGTTCCTCCATCCATCCCATGTGGATGTTGTAAAGGCTACACAAAGTTCCTCCTCCAACCTCAGCAGTGCCCCACAGTCTGAGCTCTCCTCTGTTTTTGACCACTGGTATGTAGCTGACTGATTGGAGCTATGCTCTGCTGAAGCTTCCCATGGTGGCTGTGGCTCCTCCACACCGCATCTGCTGGGGTACTGTGGGAACTGGTCCAGGGACTTCTCCTCCCCCTTCCTAGCTTGTATTGAGCAGGGCCCTCTCTGGGAAGCTGCTTTGGGTCTGTCACTATGAGTATCTCTCTGAGCCCATTCCACAGGCTGGCTGGTTCTGTGGTCTTTCCTACGGGGCCCACGTTATTCCTGGCAACTCCCTCAGAGGTAAAGTGCTACCTCTACACCGTGAGGTAGCCTCCCATGACCACTCCTGTTCTCTCTTCAAGCCAGGGTCTAAGCGCCGGGAACTCCCAGTATCTTTGAAAGTGCAGACCTCATCTGACTCCATTTTGTTCCTGCCTCGTTCCCTTCCTCCTACCTGCCTATGACGTGCACAACTTTCCTTCAGGCAGGGTCTTAGGTAGTAACTGCTTCCTTCCCTACTACTTTGTGGCTTCATTTTTATAAACTCTGTGGTCTGATCCTTCTAAGCTTGGCCTTTCCCAAAGTTCAAACCAAAACCATCTAACACTCCTAGCAAGCTCCAATCAAAATGCTTCTCGCATTTAGGATATTTACTCTTTTCAGTGTTCTGAAACATTTAATCTGAAATTCTCGGCTGGTTGATTTCTTTTTGGAGATCCACCTCCCCTTCCAAACTTCCAACATGCTGCCATAAGCATGTACATCTCACACTGGCTGCTGAGTCGCAAGAGTGCTAAGGGAAAGTCTTCTTGGTGCCACTTATGCTGAAATGGCTCAGTTAAAGTAAGTCAGCAACTCATCGACAAAGAAAAGAGAAATCACCTTCCGCATTGAGCAGATGGCACTGTCAAAAACCACCGTAGCAGTGAGTGGCTATGGGAGAAGGAAGGAGAGTTTGTGGCCAGCTTTAAAATCTACCACGTGAATAGAAGAGGAAAACATAATAAACCCCCTTTTAATATAAATAATATATAAATTTAACATATAAATATATACTATGTGTTCATCTAGTATATATTCATTTTATCAGTTCTGTTCCTTTAGAGAACGCTGATTGACCCATTTTCAATTAACATATGTGGATCATGTGATATAAAGGTCCAACTTAACTGCTCATGACTGTCCGTTGGCACCAATCCCATTTACTGAAGAGGCTATTTCTTCCAAGACCTTGGAAGTCTTGTCAAAAAGTTCATTGGTTCAAGGGAGGATTTCAGGGAGATGGATAATAGAGAAACATCAGGAATCTGTCTCCCTGCCTAGATGACTGCAGTGGCAAAGCTTGGCTAAGGTCATTATTTGGGCTCTCTGGAGTCTATAGAAGGCAACAGCCAATGGGAGGCCTGGATGGGCAAATTGAGGGTCACTTCAGTTCCTCGCTCAGCCATGAGGTGGGCCGAGCTATGCACACATTCCTGGGGTAGCAACATACCAGCATTTCTCAGAGCCCAGGTGGGTACAAATACGAAGAATGCTTGACTAGCCTGCTGAAAACTGTGTCTGATCAGAGAGGCAGATGGAGGAGCGGCAGCCATCTTTGCTCCTCCACCCTCTGTTACAAACCCCACATCCTTGCTGAATCAACTTCCAGGGTGTTTAAAGGAAAGTTACATTTTTCCTCCTTCATTCTTTTTTTTTATTTTCCTCCATTTTAAGCCAGCCATTAAAGGCTAGGACCTTCAAAAGCAATTGTTTATACAGACAAAATTGGAAAGTCACCATACACACCCCAGGGAAAGAAATCCACCACACAACCACAAAGAGGTATGACATGACAGTCACAGTTCCATGAAGTACATGGTGCTCAATAGTGATGAAAGGGGCTGCTAGCTTCTCGTCACTCTAATGTGTTCCTTCTATGTCTTAGCTCCCTTCTCTGTTGTGACAAATGCCATGACCAAAAGCAGCTTTGGGAGGACAGGGTTTATTTCATTTTGCAGGTTACAGCCCACCATCCAGGGAAGTCAAGGCAGGAAGTGAAGGCAGGAACTGGAAGGAGAAAACACACAGGAAGGAGCCCGCTTCCACAGCTTGTTCAGCTACCTTTCTTGTACAGCCCAAGCCCGTATATCTAGGAATGGAGCTACCCAGTGTTCTGGGTCTCCCTACATTAGTCAAGAATAAAGGAAGTATTCCCACCGACAAGCCCACAGGCCAATCTGATGGAGGCAGTTCTTCAGTTGGGTCCTTCATCCCAGCTATGACACACTGGCAATCAAGATTAGCCACCCCACATCTGTGTGTTCGCTAGTCTTATGTCAACTTGACACACAAACTAGAGTTATCGGAAAGGAGGGAACCTCAGTTGAGAAAATGCTTCCGTAAGATTTGGCTGTGAGGCATTTTCTTTAAGGGATTTGATGTGGGAGGGCCCAGCCCATTATGGATGGTGCCATCCCTGGTCTGGTGGTCCTGGGTTCTGTAAGAAAGCAGGTAGAGCAAGCCATGGAGAGCAAGCCAGTAAGCAGCACCCCTCCATGGCCTCTGCATCAGCTCCTGCCTCCAGGTTCTTGCTCTGCTTGAGTTCTTGTCCTGACTTCCTTTGATGAAGAACTGTGATATGGAAGTGTAAACTGAATAAACTCTTTCCTCCACAAGTTGCTTTGGTCAAGGTATTTCATCACAGCAATAGTATCCCTGACTAAGACAACCTGTAAAAGCATTTACCATGAAACAGTAAATGGGCCATGTTAAGCCAGCAACAGCTATATAACTTCGTATTTCTTGCATGAGTTTCTTGTGCTTGATTTAATCTTTTGTTGTTTTGGTATCACGACAAAAGGAGAAATAGACTGTACCTTGTATACATCCTAAATCCTAGACGTGAGATTTGTGTGAGTATACGCTATGATATCGAATGACAAAAATCACTCGACAGCATGCTGCTTGGAACACCCCTCTCCCATCACTCAGTGATGTGTGACTGAGTGAGGAACTTTTACAGATTCACAAGAGAATGACAGGCAGTAGAAAGTGGATGAAAGATCACACAGGCTCTTCAAAGCAGAGTATATGCCGATAACTAGCACATGTGTTAATACAAATAAAAAGTGACACGATTTCCAGTTAGACCAGAATACCTTTTCCTTTCTACCATGAACAACTAGAAAGCAAGCCCTTTTACATGTTGGGCAGCAACTAGGTAAGGCCTATAAATATTTTAACTTTCTGTCCAAGGGCACTATGTGGATCAAGGAGATGAAACCTATGTGAATTATGGTCCAGAACATAGCAAATCAATGAATTGAACTTCGTCAAAGCCAAAAACTTCTGCTTTACAAAATACATATTTTTTAATTGATTTATCTTTGGGACTGGAGAGATGGATCAGTGGTTACGAGTTCTGGTTGCTCTTCTAGAGGACCCAGATTCAGTTCTCAGAACCCACGTGGCAACCCACAACCATCTGTAGCTCCAGTCCCAGGGGATCTAACACTTGACCTCCTCTGGCACTTCGTGCAGGTGGTACATAGACATACATATACATAAAATAAAAAGAGGTTTAAAAAGTTTGAGATTTACTTATTTTCATTTTATGTGTATGAGTGATTTGGTTATTCGTAGGTATGCATATACATGCATCACATGTATGCAGTGCCACAGAGGTCAGAAGATGAAGCAAATCTCCTGGAGCTGGAGTTACAAGTGGTTGGGAGCAGAATGTGGATGCTGGGAATTGAACCCAGGTCTTCTGCAAGAGTATCAGGTGTTGTTAACCACTAAACCATATTCCCAGCTCCCCCAAAAGCCAGGAAACTCTTAAGAGAATGGCAAGACAAAATGCAGATAACATTTACAAATCATATTCCTGATAAATTATATTTCTGTATCTAAATATCCAATGGGCTCTAAAATACCACCAACAACAAAGCTCTTTTAAAAACAGCAAACATTTTCAGATAAAAGCAGCAAATAACTAGAAAATGAAATGTCCACATATGTTTATCTGTTCAAATGCATAGGAATATTAACTATCTGGGGCTAAGTCTAACAATGTTCAAGAGCTTGACACATAAAACTATGAAAGATGACTGACAGATAAATCCTAAAATGGAACAATATTCAATGCTTGTGGGTTGAAAGGAAGTCAGCTTTCCCAAATTGCTGATAGACTAATTATTTAAATCAGTATGCCGGAATATCAAAAGTGTCTAGAAACTGACAGAAATGAGTCTGGAATGTGAACGGAAGTGTAACTTGTAGAGAATTGAAGTTACTTTTGAAGAGTAAGTTAGGAGGGTTTATACTTCCAGATATGAAGCAAAGGTTCAACCACGGTGGATCAGTACAAAACTTGGCATCGAGACAAAGCCCAGAAACAGTCCCTTCCAAACAGATGCTGTTTACAGCCAAGGCAGAAATAAAAAGCAATGCAAGAAGAATGATCGCTTCACAACTGGTTATGGAGAAAAAGAAGGTAAGCTTGACCCTTCTCTACCTCACAGTCATTACAAGTGCCTGGGGGTCTAAACGTAAAAGAAAAACAATGAGAATTTGTCATTGGCAAAGGTAGTGAATGTCTTTGTGATATTAAGACAGAAAAAGATTTCTTTGAATGAATATAAATGACACTAGCCAAAAGGAAAATGATTGACTCATAAAGGTGCTGCACTGAACTAATACCACCATTGTCTCCCCAGTCCTAAGATAACTATAAAGAGTGAGGTAGAGCCGTGGCATGCATCAGGAGGCTGAGGCAGAAGGACTGTTTGAGCCCAAGAGTTTGAGGACAGCCTAGGCAACAGAATGAGATTCTATCTCAAAAAGAATAAAAAATAAGATGCTGAATGGGAGAGGGGATTTGTTACCTCGGTGACCAAGTGTGTTTCCCAAAGATGGCTTCCACAATATCTCCCTTGCTTTGCCCTGTCAAGAGGTAGGGAGAATGTCCTTTGCTCGGGCTCTATTTCTTCAGGACCATTTCATAACTCACTTTGGAGAAGCCATTATGCATGAGATTGCCATAGGGGAAAGCCTGTGGGTGGGTGTACCAGCTAACAGCCTCAGCTGAATTTCCAGCGGATCATCATCGACAGTGACACCGCCCCCACCCCCAAGCCTTCCCATTCAATGGCACCTTCAGATTGCTAACAGCCCAATCAAGAACCACAAAAATGCCTCTTTCAGGCTCCTGGTTTCCTCAAACAGGAATGAGATAAGAGTTGCCTTTTCACAGCTGGGTGTGGTGACACATGCCTTTAATCCCGGCACTCCAGAAGCAGAGGCAGGCGGATCTCTGAGTTTAAGACTAACCTGTTCTACATAGCTATTTCCAGGACAGCCAGGGCTACAAGAAGAAACCCTGTCTTGAAAAGCCAAGGGGAAAAGAGAAAGAAAGAAAGAAAGAAAGAAAGAAAGAAAGAAAGAAAGAAAGAAAGAAAGAAAGAAAGAAAGAAAGAAAGAAAGAAAGAAAGAAAGAAAGGAAGGAAGGAAGGAAGGAAGGAAGGAAGAAAGGAAGAAAGAAAGGAAGAAAGAAAGAATTGTCACTTTGTGTCTCACATTATGAGGTACACTGTTACACAACAAACAAGGCTGAGCAAGGAAACACAGAATTTATTTAAAAACAACAAACCAACCTCCTTGCAGATCGGTAAGAAAAACGACAGGCACTAGAGCAAAAGATTTGAAATCCAAATGGCCAGTTATAAAAAATGTGTTCAGCCTCAGTGGCAGTTAGGGGAAAAGCCAATTAATACCATAACGGAATTCCAGTACAAGCTAAATAAAATTAAAAAACTAGTCAGCGCCGTCTGCCTGCATTGAAGACATACATAAGTAGCAGTTTCATTCCTATTCAGTTTTCTTGTGCTTGAGAGTGGGAGACTTCAAAA